CAAGCAGAATAAGCACAGGACACCCCCTCCCCAAAAAACTGCTGTACCTGCCCATCATTTCTCTGTCTTCCATTTTATTTCCTTGCTATAAAAAGACACCTGTCATAGCATTCTGTGTAAATTACTACCTCTCCCAGGACCTGTATCTACAGCCAATCTTCCTTCTACACTTAAAAAAAAAAAAAAAAAAGGAAAAAAAAAGAAAAAAGAAAAATCCGGAAACCAAACGACTACTGTAGACACTCTTAAGTTCCCTGTCAATCGTTTCATTATAGCAGCATCATCTGTTTGAAAATATAAGCAATTCCCTCATCTAATTATAGGGAGGATTTGAGGTTCATTAACATTGCCAAGGCAGAGAATCAGATGTGCAACTGCAGAGCTGTGCTCAGTGGCCTGCATTCTCCGTTTCCTTTTATTTGCTTTCTCAAGGTCTCCAAGACTTTTTCCTGAAACCATAAAAGTAACTCTTTCCTTCAAAATAGACACATGTGTTTAGACAAAGGAAATGACTGCATTTAGTGCTGTTCTAGTACTGAGGGAGGTCACTGGAGAAAAATAATTTAATCTAAATCTTTTTTATCTCTGATTCTGGATTAAATAATAATAATAATAATAATAATAATAATAATAATAATAAAATTAAGCAAGCAACCATTAGTTTTGGGGAACAAATCACAGGATATCTCACATTTGTCTCAAAATTTCAAGTGCTGCAAAGAAATGGGATGAATAGGAAACCTAATGTGTCAAGAAAGCCCCTTAATTTCCACCACATTTTGTGGTTGTTTACAGATTAACGTGCTAGCCAAGTGTAAAACGTTGCCCTGTATTTCCTAACGATGTTTAGAAGCCGAGAACACCAAAGTCTTTAAGATTGCTTCACTTCCTTAAAGAAATAATAGCATTTTTTTTGTATGAATGTAGTTTAAACAATGACATTTTCTTGGGACATCTGTTTTGAGATCACATTTTGAATAGATATGAACTCATTTCCTACTAAGCAAGTAATTTACTATTGTTGATAGTTGTTTACGAGTTCTCTGAGTCAGATTTTAGCAAGTGGCAAAGGTCTTTACAAAGCCTTTGAGTATTCCCTAGGCTGTATGCATACTGTTTTCATGTTATAAAATCTTAGGGAAGCAAAAGTATAGAGGCTGTTCCTTACCTCTTACTAAGGCATAGATAGAGCAGTCTAGCTCACAGAAATAATTTTAAACATATTTACTTTTAAAGACTCTTTTCTTTTACTGCCTCAGGTTAATGAAGTATGATAGCAGGGCAGTAAGTACTTAAGCAGCAAGGAAATAATTGAGGTGCTCTACCTATCCATATCTTTGGCATATGAGATGACAAATATATGACTGATCCTAATATCATCATAAGATGTTAATATGACAAAGAGCAGAACCCCTCAATGAAACTTAAAGTTTGACCTTGTCACTCCCTTTCTCGTAATTCTCCAATTAAAAAGAAAAAAAAAAGAGCATAATCTTAGGAACAAGATTGTATTTTGTTGGCTGCCATATGGAATCCATTTTTTAAACGAAAAAATAGTAATTTATCTATCCCGCGTGTTGTATGTAGAGTTGCCACTAAAAGGAACCCAGGACATTTTTCCTTCTTATCTGCAATGTAGCTCATATCAGCCAAGCTGTCACAAGACAGTACTTGATATAAACAAGAGATTGCAAAGACATCTCAGTAATCAATATTAGGATGGCTACAGTATGGAAGCCCCAACCACTGCATATCATTTGTCTCAGCATCTATTTCTATGACCAAATGAAGCATTAATTCAAATCATAAATCTATGGTGATTTAAATCTGGGAATGAGCACCTGCCTGCTTTAATGATTTATTTTGTACATTTCAGTAAGCAGGAGATTTGTCCATATGAACTGACAGGTCACCTTCAGATGCCAGTAGCAGACTGTTTATCACCATGCAGACTAGCATCTCATCTTAGCAAGTAAATATTAAACTAAAAGAATCCAATTGATTGTGGATGGGGGAGAAAGGCGTTGCAGCCATATATTTTACTCAGTGTGCTAATACCTCACTCTGATTCTTCTGCATTTTTTTTTCATTTTTTTTTCTCCCTGCTAAAATGATGATTCTGGTGGGAGGATGCAAGCTCAAGGTTACCATGCAAAACTGAGGATATAAAATAATTACTTATTAGTATCATTGGCTTCCTTTAACTCCCTTCACTCACTAACCTTTTGGCCATTGCTTCAAAGGACCAAGTTAATAAATTTGTATAGTGCTCTGCATAATTATACAATGTTCATCTACAAAAAATGACTTGTATAAGTCACATTAAGCATCTGATTAAAAACAAAAAAAGCAAGACAATTTGGAGGTAAAGCTGACAATTTAACTCAAGAACCCATACTTTTTTTTCACACTCTTTTGCAGAGGTGCAGGGAAAGGCCAACAGCAAGGTATGGTAATTCCATACACAGTGTTCTGCCACAGAGCCCGCTACAAATGGGCTAAGATGTACTGATTCAGCTTTTACCTTGTATCCTCTTTTTTGTTTGTTTGTTTTTCTTCAATTTGGTCAGGAACATGACAATTTAAAATATAAACTAAGAACACATTATTCTCTTTTGTTTTGTTCCTTCCACTGTCAGCTTTCAATACGGCAACATTTCAAATTGATGTTTGAAAACCCGTAATTTAAATCCTTAGTGATATATGAACTTGATAATATTTATTTGGAAAAATATAAATAAATATTTGAAGAAAATGCAATGAAAATTGCACACATAGACCTACCACAAAGAAACAGATTTGAAACATGGGGTTTTGCCAGAATAATATAATATGCTGATTTTCAAAAATTCAAATACAAAGTAGACACTAAACTCTTAGTGAATTTAAGAATATCCTGAATATTTGTAGCAATTACTTCTCTGATTCCATCAGCATAAACTGTACTGGTCACTAGGTGGGGACTACTATAAAAGAAACAAGCAAATACATTGAACTATTTTTTTAAGGTAATCTCAATAGTTACAGTACAGCTCCATTTCATATGCACAAATAGACTGCATTTCTAGAGACATTTTTGAGTGGAAGACCATTCATTGTACTCTGAAAAAAACACTTTTTTAGTTTTATTTTTTCAAATGAACTCAGTTCTGTAATTCAGTTTAATCACATACAAGTCGGTTTAGGTGGGTGAAAGGAAATTTTGACAGTGGCAATAAACAATCTTACTTTACAACTTCGTGCTACTAAAGTACCTTGAATGACTTGAATCTGACCAAACAACTAAGCTATGTATTAGCTAACAGTAGATTAGCTAAGTTATGTCTCACAATGATTTTGAAATACAGATTTTGTTCTCTATTATTCAGATATTTGAGTTCTTTATTTGAATTAAGATATTCCTTTTATCCACTCTCCTACAGACACTTCATTTGGTTTACATGTTGCTTATCTGTTAACATTGCCATAGAGGTACAAGTGCCTCAAGACTACCAAGCAGAGTAACAGCTCCATAATTCAAGATCTGAACATTTTATCTCACATATGGTTGGATCTAACTCTTAGATTTGAAGCTAAACTAGCTTCTAGTTCTATTAAAGTATCTTTACCCTCAAGATTTGTATTTATACTCTTCTTTCTCATTACTTCACTTTTCTTTCAATATGTTAGGGGCCACCTGGTCCTTCCAGCTCATTTGTACCCGTCTCCTCCTCTCAAATTTCAGAGACACCTGCTCTTTACCCACTCTTGTCTTCTGTCCAAGAGGACAGTTTTTCCGCAGATATTCTGGGGACTATGTGTGTTGGTATCTGAGTACTACTTTTTTTTTCTTTCATTACCAGAAAAGCACCAAGATTTTAACAGCTTTTTCTTCAAAAGCACAACAAAAATCTGATCTTCATCTTATGCAGTAATGTATAAATACTGTTATTGTTTAAAATAGTATGTACGTAATGAAGTTGTTCTTAGAAATGTGATCTACATTATTTCTACATAACAGAGTAGCAATACCTACTGAACTATACAGCAACACTGTTCACAACTGCATTATCTACTTATGTTAAGGATTGTGCATAATTATTGATCTTTAAGACTCATTTCAAATGCATTTAGGCAATGAAAAATTAGCAAGTCAACAAATAAAGGAAAAAAAAATCCTATCTTAAGCCATTTTATTCCTATATACACTGATCTTGACTGCAGCTTTCTAAACATAGCTCTTTGTCATTGAATTTCTGCTGCTGAGTTAATACTGTCTCAACATGATAAAAGGAGCCAATACAATGAAATGGCATAACAAAACATTTTACAGCAGACACACACAGATGATTAAAGATTTAATCAACAACAACAAAAAGTTACTCTAGCTTTGAAGTGTGCTTTAGCAAAACAAATTGGCCAAACAAATGAATAAAGTATACTGAAACAATTCTTTTGAGAAAGTACATGAGTTGCTGATGGCTGCTTAAGAAATGGAAAAAGCTGTTAAATACATTTTAAGAATGTGTTTATTAAAATAAAATATGATAGGAACTGCAGAGCATGGCAATAATTTATTGTGTATGTATGTTTTCCTTTTGTCACAGGGCACATGAAAGTATGAAATATTTTGCTTTCAAGCTTGTGTTCTGAATTACCTAAAGTCGATACCCAGCACACTGAGCAGGAGACATTGTTAAATTTCACTTTGACACCATCATCTGTCACCCCACCTGTACTTTGAAAAATGAACTCTAAGCAATCAAACCACTTTCTTTCATGGAAAATATTAACTGGCGTCTGCAGAAGTAACCTGCAAAGGAAAGAATGTTTTTGTAATAGTAACAACGACGACGAATGCTGTTGTAAAGATCAGCTACAAAATCAAGTAGGGAAAAGAAAACAAATATGCAGTATTTTACACCAAATCAAAGACTTCAGAAAAAATGTCCAGAAGGATCACGATTTTAATAAATACCACAACATTATTGACATGTAAAAATAATGTGTCTGAGACTTACCAACACTTGAATTCAGATCTCCATTTTCAGAGTCTGCTCCATGCTGGTTATTATTTGCATGATAGTTGGACATAGCTTCCAATTTAATTTTTTTCACTTTCATTGCTTCTGCTATGGCGGCATTGGTGGCAGCTGCTGCTGCTGCAGCTGCTGCTGTCAGGCCTACAAAAAAATAGGAACAAAATTTAATAAGCATTATTCCATGACTCTTCGTTGTTGTAGGGTATAAGACTGTTACTCTTCATTCTTTACTACATAATTAAAAGAGTATGCTATAAAATAGTATTCCTCTTCTTTGATTTGAAGACTTACTTCACCAGCTTCACCTCTTATTTAGCTAATCACTTCTTTATATTCACCTACATCTTAACTTTGTATCCAGTCACTGCAGTCAATCACACCTAACAAATACAAATATTTTGAAATCCAACTTAGCTTGTAAATCACGTCTTCAAGTGTCTGACTGTGAAAAGGTGAAAATGTAGATAAATGTACTCAGGAAAAAAAAAAAACACTTTCAGAAGTGCCATATTAAAGACCATTCCTTTATGAATAACACTTTGGAGAAATGAGTCATTTCTTTCTGATTTTACACATCACATCAAGGAGATGGGGACACTGTAACAAGCTTTGCTAGAGAAAAGATTTATTAATGCAGGACATAGATAAAATGTTTTACTTTCCCAAGACTTCAAGTAAACAAAGTCTTTGCCCAGAAAAAGCATGTATCCCATTTATCCACAAAGCCACCTTCACAACATCCGTATGCTATTCCTACCAAACATCTCTGCCACCCAGCCACTTGCAAGAATGTTTTACAGAAATGGGAAAGGTTTTCCTTTTCAAAAGCAGTTAGAGAAACTGTTCAGTAACACTTTCAACCCTTTATACAATGTTTGCAGTCCCTAGACACTGCAGGTACCCCTCAGATCTCTTTGCCCCAACCAAGGTGTTAACGGAGGTAAGGCTGGGTCAAAACTGCACGAGAGCCCAGGAAAGGACAGTCACCACCTTTTGCTTACCCCACACTGATGACCCAGGGAGCAAAGATGGAAGTGAAGGCACTAAAGCAGATAAGCTATATGCAATAAGGTTACCAATCTCTCTACCTTGGATGCTACGGGATGAATCTCAGGTTCCACCACTTACAAGCAAGATTCTTGCTCTGACAGTGGAGATGGCTTGAAAACAACTCAGGGTAATTAGTTTAAAGGTGTCTCCTTGTCTGGTTCTCAGATACTCCTTCTCTGAGAGGTGCAAAATGTCCTACACATCTCAGGAGGAATTAACTCAACAACGTGCTACTTAAAAGGGCCCAGACTGCTGCCCAGTATAGGAAAACATGATCATGGTTTAGCAGGAAGACCACATAAGCAAACAACTCCCAGATGCTGAGACAAATAATGCCGACACCACCACCTTTGAGACCTGAGTTCACTCTCGCACCATTTAGTACTCACACGAGGTAGAAGATCATCCATTGGCGAGCACACAGACGACTGGGCATCCAGCACCTCTGCCACCCCAGGGGGCAAGTTGTGGCAAAAGAGGTGTCTTATCTTACGTCTCGACCCACACTTGTCCTCTCTTATTTCTTTGCACACCGCATTGAGACTAGCAAATACCCCTAGCCTATCTAGTGTCCTCCTGAACAAGCTTCTAACACCTCTGAGTGTCACTGGAATTACAAAGTAAGCGATAATTACATTCTGCATTGTCAGATCAATATTACTTACAAAACTGCTGTTTCAGATAGAAGATGTGCCATAAGTCAAGGATCAAATCAGAAAGTGGATCAACATGAGAGTTTCATTTTATTTTAGGTTTTGATACTATTACAAAGCATGCACGTTTTGATCATAAAAAGGTACTGACAAGAACATGGGTGGCTTGCAGTGATATTTTTATCTTAAGAGGAAGGATGTGAAGTTATACATTATACAAATTTGGTAACAGTTCTTAAATTAGGCCGGAGAAAAAGGGATGGTGCACCTCTGAACTTTGGTGTGCATCCTGTGTTCATTAAACAATGCAATATCCTATACTTCCTTTTTTTCATATGCCTTGCTGACAAGCTAAAACTATTATCTTTAAAGAACGACCCTCTGCAGCAATGTTCAAATATGATTCAACCAATAAACGCAACAGCAGGGCTCAAACTTTTGATCACGACAGCACTTCTGGACCAGCAGTTTTTAAGCATTTCTAAGTATTATAATAAACACCATGTTAAACACATATTCTATTGGACTTGTGAGCCCCCTCATAAATGTTATGTCTCACTAGAGTAATGACCAGCCTGTAGAACTGCTAGAATACAAACCCTCTTTTGCAACAAAATATATAAAAATATATACTTCAATGCTTCTCTCTAAAGTGGGCCGTAATGCTCCGCTCCAGAGGAGGTCATAACTTCTTCTAACATATTAAGAAAATAAAATAATTTCAGACTGGTGCTATATTGTGCCAAAACTTTCTATCTAGCAAAAGGCCTTACTTCACTACAGATTTCACCACCAAAGGCAGCCAGAGATAAACAGAAGAGATGAATAAATTTCTAAATAACTACTGCCTGTGTATTTCTAATTCTAAATTTTACAGTTCGAGATTACTTAAATGTTCTTTAAGCTGCTTGTTCAAAAGAGCCTTTTGAACTAAACATTATTTAACATCACTTGCTCCAGATACTAAGTAGCCAAAGAATTTCTGAGTTGTCCACTTTTCATTATAGGCACTGTACCCTGAAATACGAGGGGACCAAAGTCACCTATAAAGGCAAGTGAAACCAAAGAAACAGTGAGTCACACTAAGGAGCCACTAAGGTATTTTTTGTTCTTTGCAAATGTTTATTTGAAAATTCAAAAAAATTTACCAAGCCAAAATGTTCACCGGCTTCAAGTCAATAATGGTTATCATTAATACTCTGAAATTGATAAGTTGTTTATGTCTGGCATTCCTCCTGCTGATTATGCAGTGAGACAGGCAGCTTTATAAATATCTCATCACTCCATCGTCACACAAATTTCATCAACAGTGCTCATGCACAGCTATTAGCAATATGAATCTAACCATTACAAGAGGAAAGAAAATCGAACATGTGGCATTAATACGCAGTCCTGGTTCCTAACCATCTGATAGGCAGATGGCGTAAAGCGGATTCTCCAGCTGAAATGAAGGGGCACATCATTTAAAACCTTGTTTGCATTCTAACTGATATCAGTGCCATATTGATATACATGATACATCATGGCAGTATTTGAACAATCTAGTTTGTTTCAGTCATAAATGTTTACAGCCTTGTTTTTTATCTTTAGAAGCATGTTCTGAAGAGCGTATTTTTAATTTATGAAACCTATTGTTTACTTCTGTTCAACCAGAAGATTAGCGAAGAGCAGGAATATTAAATTACCACAACCACAGCAGTATAACTAAGATGGATGAATAAAGTATGTTTTTTCAATAAAAGATGTTAGGAAAGGAATTAAAAAATTAGCCTAGACATTTTATGCATTAAATACATTTATTCATTTAAACCTCACAGCCCTTTTCCCATGTGACATACTTAGAACTTTAATGCTTTATAAAGCCATTCATTTAAATCTCTTACTGTGTGCAATTAATCTTGTCCAACCATTTAATTCAGAACGCAAAACATCAGAAAGTAAAGTTCAATTCAGCAGTCGTGGCTCCGGAGTAATCTCCGTATTGCTGACAGTTCCTATAGACTCATCAGCAGAAGTCTGCTCAAGGTGTCTCGTCGGAGCCGTATGCGTTTGAATTATAACTCAATTGAAAGCTCTCCAGGCCTTGGTAGGGACGTGGGAACAAGGAGCTCAACACCAAAAGCAAACACGAAAGGGTCTCTTTCTACAAAGACCTCCTCTCTCCTGTCACTAGATTACTTTGGCCTGTAGGGTGTGTTTGTAGCTGTTAATTATGTTAATAAAGTTGCAGCCTGCTGCCTCTGCCAAATATAATCATAAGCTTCCTCCTGCCAAATTCTCGTCTAATTTACACCCATATATCTCTGCTGAAGTCAGAATTTCGTGGGTGAGAATGAGACCAGAAGTTAGCCCAGTATGTGTGGTCTCCCGTGCTGAAAAATGAATGAATGAAGGAGAAAACACTGACAAAAAAAAACATAGCGCCTTCAGCAAACGATTCCGGGTTTCAAGCGAAATGCTCGAGAGAACTGCCATATATAATGACAGATTTCTCCCAAAGTGTATGAATTACTGGTAGGGATTATGTCACATGCAGGGCTACAGCCATCCCACAAATACTGCTTGCTGGCTTTAGGGACATTGCTGAAACCATTCAGTTTGCCTGGCACGATCGGCTTGTAATGCATCCTCTTGGGAGGTGGAGGACAGACACAAAGGCAGCAGAACTTTTTCAGGAGCAAATGTGTCTGAAAATAAACATTTTGTGTTGTATGCCCAAATAAGGTCAAATAAGGTCACAAAATTATTTAAGTACCTGAGCTCAGTTTACTGTTAACTTCCATCATATAACTATTCCTAAAAAAACCTTATTATTCTTTATTATTACTGCTAATAGTAATTTTTCTAATAGCAAATTATTAACTTCCTTAATATAATTACTACCTTTCTTTATATACCTGTATATAATGTATACACATATACAAGAACATAGAAAGTCCAGTTATTCATATATATTTTCTTTCACAATCTTTTTCTTTAGGACTTTGATAGCATTTTCAAGATACTCTACCTTTGCCATCATATATTTTTGTTTGGAAAGCTAAAACAAATGATTGTCAACAGTGTATTACACTTCATTTCTTTAATTTCTCTGAAATGCCACTCTTCGGGAACGTTTTATTCACCGTATGGGAGGAAGTCCAAATCTCATCTAAATTCTGAAATAAGGCCTTTCATTAGTTCACATTAATGCTTACTCCCTTTTCTTATAGTTTATTCCGGCGGTACTGACTTGAAAATAACTCATGACTTTTCTCGATTTAATTCCAGATTTCCCACTGAAGTCGTTACATGGACAAAATTGTCATTAAACTCAGGATACTTTCCCAGAGCAAGAAATGCAGGGTTCCCTCTAGGACTTGCCCTGGTAACTGCAGATCACTGCACAACTCCCAGGGCTCTCAGCAGTTCAGGGACACGTTTTTGGTAGCTTACCAC